AACTCACATTAAAATCGGTGTTCGACGTTAGCTCGAATGCCACAGCGATATCTCCACCGTATTTCCATTCTCCCGTACATGGCGTTACAGTACTCTGCATTGTGGAAGTTGTAGATGGAACAAGCGTTGAACTCGATGTTGAAGAGCTTGATTGTGATGTAGTCCTGATGGAAAGTGCTGCTGTGGTCGTAGATGGTGGAGATGCAGTGGACAATTTTGTTACTACGGTGCTACCCATTGAGGTTCTTTGGGATGACACCGAGGAGGAGGAAGAGGAGTTTTGAAAAGGCGTTGTGCTGGATGAGGTGGAAGGATGGGTTACAGAGGAAGATGCACTAGTAGAGATAGCAGGATTAGCTGTAGATGTGGTTACTTTAGTGGTGATTGTAGGATTTGATGTGAGTGAGCCTTTGCTGGTAGAGGATGTAGGGTTAACAGTAGAAGACGACCTTGTTAAGGTTGAAGAATTGGATGCCGCTTTGGAAGTTATAACTGTAGAAGCTGAGGAATAAGTTGAAGTCCAAGAAGATGAACTAGCTGTGGTTGTTTTGGGATTGTTGGTAGAGCTACGTGAACTTGTGACCAATGTCGGGAAGTAGCTGACAGAGCTGGAACCTGCTGAAGAAGTTGGAAGACTGGAGGATCCTATTGTTTGTGTAGAGCTTTGCTCAGTTAGGGGAGTTGTGAGCTTCAATGTAGTTTTTGATTTTGTTACAGTTGTCAGAGGCACATTAGTCGATTTGGTTGTTCGCAAAGATGTTGCAAGTTTTGGGGAAGACGGGGGTATTGCTGTTGTCACACTTCGCGAAGGCAGTGTTTCTGGTATAGCATGAGAAGTCAGCCTATTGTTGAGAGTAGTCGTTTTGACAGCAGCGGTAGTCGGAGATGTTCTTGCTGCTGGTGTTGAGGAAGCGCCGTCGATGCTACATGGATTGTTTGTGTTGCCTAAAAATATTTTACCCTCACCTTACATCTTGCTAGAACACAATTTCTTCAAAGATGCTCACTTGAGACAGTATCGACAATCGCATCTGTCACTACATTAGTTTTGCTATCCAGCTGTAACTGAATTGTAAGAAATGACGGTAGTGCTGACGCATCCACATTTCCGTACACAGTACCGTACGCAAAACATATGGTCGTATTGTCCTTTCCTTCTCTGAATGCATGACTTGGAGATCAAAAAAGGAGCCATGGCTTAAGATTACAAAATGTATAGCTGTAATCTTAACCGGTACCTAATCTTATTTGATTACGTTTATGTTTGTTGTTCGCTATTCCTTTCAAGGAAAAAAGGCAAATGAGACATATATGGACAAGACTGGATGGATTGAAAAAATCGAGGAAAAGAAATCGAAACTCACCTTAACTGAGCAACTTGAACCGATGCTGTGGTGCCTGGAGAAATTGCAGCAAATGATTTCTTTCCAAGCACACTGTTTGATGCAAGAGCTGCTGTAAGCTAAATCGCAAAAAATTATTTTTTTTTGGAAACAGAGCTATATCTGGCGTAGTGAGTTAAGCAGAAATGATTTGGATTTGCTCAAACTACAATGACCTA